CAAAATTCACAAGTCTTCGGAGTAGAACAACAGAGGAGGCCGCCAGCCAAACCATGGGTTGGTTGGGCTGGCCCTATGTTTGGCCGAACCAGGGGGTTCGGCCGAACCTCCCTCGCCTCCGTTGTATCCAGGTCTTGGCTGGACGGTTGAGACGAAGCCCCAATGACGGTTGGAGGGTATTACCGACCACTCCAACCGTCACAACCATCATAGTTAAGCTATAAAAGGAGTTCCTTTTCTCACTTCACACACACACATCAAGCAATAGCTCTCTCATTTCTCTCAAGTTTAGTTTAGTAGTATCTAGCTGGTGGAATAGGAATAGAGTAGAAATCAGGAGTCCGGAAGCCTTCGGAAGAGTTCGGGTATGGCTCTAGTAACTTTTCTCTTCTCTTTTGTAAGCTTTGTACTTTTATTAGAATACTCTTCTAAATACATTTATGGTATTGAAATACTTTCCGAGTATATGAGTAACTACTTTACATTATGTTCATGTTATACTGAATATACGGCTAGCTTATCTGGGAGATGCTTTAGTACGGGTATAGTGTTTGCTTATGCAATTACTCTATGTCATGACGATGATATTAGAGTAGTATCTGGTAGTTTAGATGTGGTGTCTAGATTACGAGATATCTATATTTGGAGTTATATATTGCGGATAAGAGGTGGGCCGCTGATGGTGACAACTTAGTACGGGTATTCCTCCGCGCCGGTATATAATCCTAAGTTAATTCCCTAGGGAGGGTATTCCTCCGTATTTAGCACCGGTTGTATGGTCATGACAGGCTGTCGTAAGGAACTCGACAGTCAGGGGTGGCTTCTCGAAGTACCAGGAGGGCATCGGATAGAGGGTATTAGCTAGTATATCGGTTAACTAGAATGTATATATACTATGTATATTAGAAGTATAGGAATAGATTATCTTTCTCTTTTCTATCCACTTAGCTTAGATAATATATTATGAGAATGAACAGTTAATGTTTGTGTGTCACTCTACCCTTGGATTATCTTAATCCCTGCTTAGAGTATGATTATCACAAGTAATATATAAATTATTAGTCAAGTTTTCTCTACATGATCTTCCCACGTGATAAAATAAATACGATACCCTTGGAATACTCTCGGGTGAAATGCTACAATGGTATATTCATGCGTTTGAGAATGAACTCTGTAACCATAATGTAATAGAAGTATTTCTGCGCCATTGCTGGGAATTATATTTCTAGTAATGTCATTAAGAAATACCAACAAATATCAAGACCCATTTGAGCTACTGCACCAAACTGTTCGTCATCGATTGGGACAAGCGTTCTAGCATTATCTTGCTGAATAAATATTGTTCTTCTTGCATCTTCTTGGGGCCAACATGGTCTAATAGCTGGAAGAACTTTAGAGATCATGAAAGATCTCATAGTTTCTCTACCAACCTTAATAGTATTCCTCTTTCTCCATTACAGCTGCTCCTTTGTGCGGATTCCTATTAGTACATGAAGACTAACAAGAACCCGCACAAAGAAGCATCTGACGAAGAGGACACCTTGGTAACGGTCGAGTTAGCTTGTCCCATGCCAAGAGCCACATCGCAGCTCATCAGCTCGCCAATTTCATTGCCTCCCTTCCCTAGTAGTACTGTTAGATTTAATTGGGTAATTGATCCATTTAAATCAATTAAATCAAATAAATTCCAAGGCTCATTACGCTAGGAATTCATGTGTATTCATTCTCTTATGAGATATCAATGGGATGAGGAGTTTTGAGAATTAATCCATTTGATTAGGGAATTGGTAACTTATATCAATTACTCCTAATTGATGCATGGTTGATGGTTGTGTAGTGGAGGATGGTTCATGGCCAGTTGATGACAATTAGTTGCTCTATTCCTCTTCCTATTCCATTGGTAACCTACATCAATTACTCCTAATTGATGGTTGGTTGATGGTTGTGTAGTGGAGGATGGTTCATGGCTAATTGATGAGAATTAGTTACTCTATTTTTCTTCTTATTCCATGACTCTTACTCTTCATCTTCCATTCCTCATATAAAATGAGAATGGATTTGATCTGCCTAAGTAGAAGTGAGACACTTTCATCCATTTCCAAGGCTATTGCTGCTACGATAATCCCATCCTGACGAGTGTGTGCACACGCATTGGGAGAATAGGCCTCCGAAACCACGCACTGCTGCGACGTTTGCACGGACGGGCGGGCGATCAGGTTTCTTGGGAGCGCAAGGCGCACTCACTGTTAGTCAACGTCTACTTCGTCTTCACCAATATGTCGAACACTGGAGACAACGGCAACACTGGAGACAAGGAGAAGGAGGTTCCCGTCAACACCAACGGAGGCAATACTGCCTCAAACTCTAGCGGAGGACCATTCTTGGGGTCTAACCTTCTTACATTATTTCAATTAGAAGTTTTACTGTTCATCGCAATGTCAACATTGCGTTATTATGTGATTGTTGATGCTTATTCTACGTTAAGCATGCTCATGTTGATTACATTCACAACTATCATTGGATCAAATTCCATTGTAAATGTCATGTTTATTATCTTGTCATTTTGGATTAAAATATGCCGAAATATGACCAAATTTCCAACAAGTACAACACCATAGTGCACCATTTTCTAGGGCACAAAATCATTGAAGCAATCAACTATCAAGTCGTCGCCTTCATCATCCAAATCAGACCAGAACTCGTACTCATCCAAATCAAACCCATCCTGTGTATAGATTACATTATTGCCTTCTTCTAAAAAGTGGCCAGATTTATGATCAAACCACTTGCCTCAAAGCTATTGCCCGCACCTCCGGCTAGGAGGCCATATCCCCCCATGATGTGAGTGCACCATGCTACTGTTGCCACATATCACACCACCCTTCTCCACTTCCCTACAATCTTGAATCTCACCGACATTCTCCCCTCACAATCATGAATCCCACCACCCTTCTCCTCCACTTTTCCACAGTCTTGAATCCTATCACCCTTCTCCTCCACTCCCCCACATTCCTGGAACTCAGTCTTGGGCACAAACTCCTAGTCCGAGGAGAACTGGTCGTCGTCGTACCCATCTTGTGTATTCAAAACAAAATTCTTGCCTTCTTCCAATAAGTGGTCGCGAGTACTACTTGTCTCAACGGTGTTGCTTACTGCATCTAGGAGGCACTTTGCAAACCCACCGCCGTCATCACCGCCACAAGCCACCCACTTGCCTAAGCTGCCGCCACCAGAACCCAACCCTCCACTGCCTTCGTTGTTATCGCCGCTGCCACAACCCAACCCTCCTTCGCCGTCATCACCGCGCCGCAACCCAACCCTCCACCGTCCCCGTAGGCTTGCTGTTGCTGTAGCCTCTAGGGCTTTCACCACTGCAACCCCTAGGGCCTCTGCCACCGTAGCCCCTAGGGTTTCCGCCACTGGTACCCATAGTGTTTTCACCACCGCCGCCCCTAGGGTTTTCGTCACCAGCGCCCAGAGGGTTTCCGCCACCGCCGTTGGACATGTTGTCGCACGCTGGATGTGGCTTGCTTGTGGGGAACTGGATGGGGGTTGGTGTGGCGTGGTGTTAGGTGGGAGAAGCTTCATGGAGGAAGAACAGAACATGATGGGGAAGAGGAGAAAACAAGAGAGAGGATAATGTAACGCTTGGAGGATACAGGATACTGATACGGAGTTACTACAGTAATAAGCACGCACACCTGGTTGACCAAGAGCTGCTTATATATGTCAATTAGTTTATAAACGACTAAAAAAATAATTTGCATGTAAAATTTTACATGTATACTTATGCTTAGCAACTTAAAACTAAATGAAAAAAGAAACAACGTTAAATATACTCTAAAATTAGCTTTAAAATTATGTTTTAAAATTTAAATTTTAGCAATAACTCATTTTTGTTGTATGCCAAAAATGATAAGGCTCAAGGCCTACAGGTGTCTTTTGGAACTCGCATTCTCGTTGTTTGCTCAATGGCTTTTAAGGGTTTTTTTCTATTGTAGTCCATTTTCTAATTAATATTGGCTTCTAAAACCATGAATAATACAGATAAAAGTTTACCCATAATATTTTTTTTCGTTATTCACATCAAATAAGTCGTAGCTCAACCCAATCAGAGACTGGTAATTTTTTAAGGAATTTGTGAAAATAATTTATGTAGAAATTTAGTTTCCTGAATTCATATTGGACACGATCTGATAGCACATAGGTTCGTTTAATATATTTTTAGGAAAGGTAGTAGCTATTATTAGATCAGGGAAGCCAAATGTTGTTATAATACTGACAAATAATATTTGTTCTCACCAGCTGATAAAATTTTTCGAGGAAGTACCCCCTCTGTCTCTAAATATTTGACGCCGTTGATTTTTTAAATATGTTTGACTGTTCATCTCATTGAAAAACTGTTGTGAAATATGTAAAACTATATGTATATGTAAAAGTATATTTAATAATGAATCAAATGATATGGAAAGCATTAATATTTATTTAAATTTTTCAAATAAGACGAATGGTAAAACAAGTTTAAAAAAGTCAACGGCGTCAGAAGAAGGGAGTAGGAACTTGTATTAATTAACCAATATAGTGCGGATCAGTTCCAACGATAGGTTTACCAATGGAGAAATTTTACGGTTATTAAAAGACACCAAAATAATTAAGTGTAATTAAATTCGAAATTGCGGTACCGCTCGTCGTCGCCTTAAGATAGTAAAATTACTAAAATTAATGGAGGTCAGGAGCTTGTTAACCGTGAACCTGCAGACTCGATCAAACCAGGTACAGATTGGATTGCGCTTGATGATTGTTTTACATATATAAGTAAGCCGTGCCATTAGCACTGTATTTACAAAGACTAATCGAAAATGTAATAGTAACTACGAACAATTTTGATAGTTCAGTGTTAGATAGTTACAGTGTTACACCCTTTTCCTGATGGAACTTTGTTAGGCAGCCACAATATAATCTAGAATAAACAACAGGAGGGATAATTATAAAGGTAGTACTGGGCAGAAAAAAATGCACATATATATATATATATATATATGTATGTATTATTAGAAAAAAAATGGCATAGATATAGATACATAAGAAATAAGTGAATTACACCAGCTGGCGCAGTGGCACATCCGGAAAAAAACATGAAAGAATGAGGGAAATAAAGCAAAGAATAAAGCTAGGTCGTCACTTATTTATTCCAGAAATGGCCAATGGCCATTTCCTAGTGCTCCGACCCTCAGCAAAATAATCTCATCAGTAGCTAAATCGTGCAGCAAGCAAGATGCCCTCGATCTCCATGGATCTCCATCATGGGTAGGCCGACGAAGGCGTTTCCTTCTTTGGGGCTGACTCGGGTTTTGGCTCGGGCTTAGACTCTGGCTGTGGTTCTGTTTTTGCTTCTGGCTTGGATTCTGGTTCTGGTTTTGACTTTGAGTATGACTTTCGCTCTGGCTTCGGTTCAGCCTTCGACTCAGACTTTGGCTCTGTCTTTGGTTCTGGTTGCGATTCTGCCTTTGGTTCAGTCTGTGGGGTAGGCTCCGATTTAGGTTCAGACTTGGGTTCAGACTTTGGCTCCGCCTTAGTCTCGGGATTTGGTTCTGACTGTGGCTCAGACTTGGGCTCTGATTTTGGTTCTGCGTATAGCTCGGACTTTGGCTTTGGCTCAGACTTAGGCTCTGACTTTGCTTCTGGTTGTGGCGTGGACTCTGCCTTTGGCTCTGGTTTTGATTCAGGCTCTGCCTTTGATTCGGGCTTAGACTCCGAGTAAGTTGCCGGCTTCGACTCCGGCTGCGACGCAGACATTGCCTCTGGCTCCGGCTTGGGCTCATCTTTTGGCCCAGGCTTTGCCTGCGAGTAAGAATCCGACTTCGGCTCCTGCTGCGACGCAGGCTTTGCCTCTGGCTCCGACGACTTCTCATACGCAGCACGGCCTCGCCTGCTGAGGAAACGGGCGCCATGCCCTAGTCCCCAACCGCTCGCCGCCCCTTCATCAGCAAAGGCTCCAATCGCCGCCACCACCACTCCAAGGAGGAGCACAGCGACGGCAAGGCAAGGAGAGCTCCTCGCCATGGCTGGCAAAGCTAGCTAAGTTGCTTTGCTACCCCTCCCTCCCTCCCCCTCTCTCTCTCTCTCTCCTTATCTTCTTCTCCCTCAATCCTGTGTGCCTTGTGTGTGTGTTTCTCTGAGCGATGTGCCAATGGATGGAAGGGTGGCTGGGATTTATAGCCTAGGAACTGGAGCGAAGGATGGCTGGGGGATTCATTGCTGGCGAAATGCAAGCAGGTGTTGTCACGTGGCTCCACTCCATGACACCGGGCCAGCCAATCGATATGGTCGGTCTCTAGCAAGCCGCCTCTGCCAACCTCTCATCGAGTATCCTGCATGCATGCTTCCTTTCTCAAATCTGCCTTTACACTAACTGGTAACCGTAATTACTTTCCGCTAATCAATCAGCACCTCTCCTCATTAATCAATTCATTAGTTACATGTTATTTTAACTAGGAAGGTAGCCCGCACATTCGCGCGGGCATTCATGAATCATTGCTTAAATATTTCTTTTAAGATATTTTGTTAGTTTATAATATGTAATATTTAATTAATCTATATAAGCACCTATCTATAAAATTAATCTTCTTCATCATTTAAGAAGACATAGGTCTTTTAAGTCTAAATTAAAAAGTAAGGTGTTGTTTTTCTTTTTAATTGAATGTGTTGGGCTCTTATTTTAACAAATCTCAAAAAGGTTATTGCTAATAAATGTGTTTTATTCCTTTTTTTTAATTAGTTCACATTTGACACAATTAGTTGTATGTACTTACATATGAATCAACAAAAATAGAGTAGATATATTCTAGACCTCACTTCCTATAATATGTGTGATATATATTTTTTAAATACATTTAGTCGACCTGAGTTTTTAAACTCAAATTTAATAGTAAGGAATATAATATTTAAAACCATCAATCAACTGCTATGGCATAGAATAGAGGGAAGTCTATTAATATGTGGTCACTTAAAAATGATGCAATGGTTATGTATGGTTGCCTCAATTTAAGGGAAAATTAAGAACCACAGTGATTCTAATAAATTATAAGATTTTCTACAATTTGTTCGTTTACACTCTATTGACATTTTTCTTTTTTTTATTTCATACAAATATTATTTTTAGTTCAAATTTATGATATGATAAATAATGACTACATTACACCCTATGTGTCAATTTTTTTAAAATAAAATTTTATCTATAAGGAAGTAAGATTGGTATATATTCTCAATGTTTATTAATAAATGGATTTTATGGGACATAAGGCTACGGTAAATTTATGGGCGTGTATACTACAGTATATTTCCATTATGTGATAGATAATTCATTTGGAAACGTTTCGCGAGGCTCTACGCCCATTGTGAATAAGATTTGATGGGTAATTAAATAGAACTGTACATGCAAAATTGTTTCTGGAATGTAATGTATTGTGAATGCTTCCGTGATTTAAATAATTTCTATAATATTTATGGAAAGCTAGTTTTATGGGCTATCAACCCCAACATAAAACATGGTCCAAAATCTTCAAGAGATGTTGAAAAAAATTGTAAAGGAAGCTGATGTAATTGTTGTGACATGTGAAACAACCCGGAGTTAGAATTTTGGTTGACGTTTTCAATTCACACAAAGATGAAACATTTTGAGCACTAGTACTTGACCTATTATATGCATGTGGTATCCCTCTTAATAGTACGACATCCTAAACTCAAATGTAAAAAGGAAAGTTATACCAGCAGGAATACCATCACACCATTTTCTTTCTTCACTTGGAGGGTTACCAACGTCAAGGTCATTTGATCATTGGGAAAATCTCATCTTCTTGATCTTTGACATTTCATCTTTCATTTCTCAAAAGGTTGATGCGGATAATCCATGGCTTCAAATGGTCTCGCATGGTCCATCACGACAAAGTCTTCACTCGCTCTTCACCACCAGTTTCGGTTCGTCGGCGTCAAGCCCCTTGCTTGTCCTCACTACTGCATGGTCCATCGCAGCTGAGCATCGCTTGCGCTTCACCGTCTTGCCATAGGTAGTCACTTCATACCTCGCATCTTCAACTTCTTGACTTCAATTCTCATCCATCGGTAAAATCCATCTTCTAGCTTCTCACACCATCTTTATTTCTAACAATCTTGAACCATGGTGTATATTATTCAACATGTCCATCACCTCATGATGGGATGTCATCAAGTATTCTCATCATCAACATTTGACTCTTGTTGATTCCCAATATGTGAGGTATCATCCTTTTTGTCATTAATCCACAATCCTATCACTTGATTCTCACATTTGAGCCATCAACCTTCTTTTTTTGCTTGAGGCCAGAACATAATCTGTCATCACAAACTTATAGCAAAGGTTAGTTCCAACAACCATTGTTATTAATCACCAAAACTCCTCCTAACACAAAATTAGAGAACTTGATCTTTCAGATGATCACAACAAAGCGCTTTAAGAAGAATGCTAAGTGCCTCTAGCTTCTCTTTGTTCATGTGAGGGATCTTGTACTTATTCCCTCTACTAGTTTTCATTACCTCCATATAGCAGCTTTGTACTCCCACGAACACCCTATTAAGAGTGTTTGGATCGTAGTCATTGTATTCCTTATGAACATTCTCTCTTTGCTAGCTCCTCCATGTTTGTAGAGACCCGAGTAGATGTTAAGGACTGAAGTGAGCCAAAGAAGCCAATTCATATCAGGGAAATTTGGAGGTTGATTCACGAGACGAATAGCAAGACCCATTTGAGCTACTGCAACACCAAACTGTTCATCATCGATTCGGACAAGCGTTCTAGCATTATCTTGCTGAATAAATATTGTTCTTCTTGCATCTTCTTGGTGCCAACATGCTCTAATAGCTAGGAAAACTTTAAAGAACATGAAAGATCTCATAGTTTATCTATGAACCTTGATAGTGTTCCTCTTTCTCCACTACGGTTGCTCCTTTGTGCGGATTCCTATTAGTACATCAAGACTAACAAGAACCCGCACAAAGAGGACACCGTGGTAACGGAGGAGTTAGCTCGTCCCATGCCAAGAGCCACATCGCAGCTCATCAGCTCGCCAATTTCATCGCCTCCCTTCCCCTGCAGTGCAACACCAACTTGCACCATTTTCTTGCGCACAAAATCATTGAACCAATAAACTATCAAGTCGTTGCCTTCATATCCAAATCAGGCCAAAACTCGTACTCATCCAAATCAAACCCATCTTGCGTATAGATTATATTCTTGCCTTCTTCTAATAAGTGGCCGGATTTACGATCAAATCACTTGTCTCGAAGCTGTTGCCCGCATCTCCGGGCAGTAGGCCATATCCCTCCATGATGTGAGTGCACCATGCTGCTGCTGCCACTGATCACACCACCCTTCTCCACTTCCCTACAATCTTGAATCCCACCGACATTCTCCTCTGTTTCCCTACAATCTTGAAACCCCACCCTTCTCCTCCACTTCGCCATAGTCTTGAATCCTACCACCCTTCTCCTCCACTTCCCCACAATCCTGGAACTCAGTCTCGGGCACAAGCTCCTGGTCTGAGGAGAACTGGTCGTCGTTGTACCCATCTTGTGTATCCAGAACAAAATATTCGCCTTCTTCAAATAAGTGGTCGTATCTTCACGAGTACCACATTCCTCGACGGTGTTGCTTACTGCATCTGGGAGGCACTTTGCAACCCACCGTCGTCATCATCACCACAAGACAACCTCCTGCCTAAGCTGCTACCATCAAAACCCAACCCTCTGTTGCCATCGTCATCATCGCCGCCGCCACAACCCAACCCTCCGTCGCCGTCATCACCGCAGCCGCAACCCAACTCTTCACCACCCCTGTAGGCTTGCTGTTGCTGTAGCCCCTAGGGCTTTCCCCTCTGCAGCCCCTAGGGCCTTCCCTGCCGTAGCCCCTAGGGTTTCCGTCACCAGCACCCATAGTGTTTCCACCACCCCTGCCCCTAGGGTTTTCGTCACCAGCGCCCAAAGGGTTTCCGCCACCACCATTGGACATGTTGTCACACACTGGATGTGGCTTGCTTGTGGGGAAGTGGATGGGGGTTGTGTGGCGTGATGTTGGGTGGGAGAAGCGGCGTGGAGGGAGAAGAGAACACGATGGGGAAGAGGAGAAAACGTGAGAGGATAATGCAGCGCTTGGGAGGAAAATTCGTGTGGAGCATAAACATTCGATGGTATTAGATGGACCCACTTCAGTGCGTTTTATTTGTACGAGTACTTTTCTAACGAGGCAGTTTAGGCATCAAGCTTTTTGGGACAATTTCAACAGGGTAAAGCGACCACCTTTGTGGGACGGAGGGAGTATTAATTAAACTTGCCCTTACCATTGTACGGAACATGGTTAATGGCAGGTAAACATCGCGTGAGTGATAGGACTTGGAGCTAATCACTGATGTTAACAGAGCTGATTACTCATAAAGATGGATGCACAGTTACATGAATGCACAGTTCTGACCGTATTGATTTTCTCGTTTGTGCAGAGGGTAAACTCATGACAATGCTGTCCATACGGAGTTACTACAGTAATTAGCAGGCACACCTGGTTGACCAAGAGCTGGTTACTTATGTCAATCAGTTTATAAACAACTAAAAAAATGATTTGCATGTAAATTTTTACATTTATACTTATCCTTAGTAACTTAAAACACATTGTAAAACATACACTACGTTAAATATACTCTAAAATTAGCTTTAAAATAATGTTTTAAAATTTAAATTTTAGCAATGACTCATTTTCGTTGTATGGCAAAAACGATAAGGCTCTAGGCCTACAGGTTTCTTTTGGAACTCGCATTCTAGTTGTTTGCTCAATGGCTTTTAAGGGTTTTTTTTATTGTAGTCCATTTTCTAATTAATATTGTCTTCTAAAACCATGAATAATACAGATAAAAGTTTACCCATAATATTTTTTTCGTTATTCACAGCAAATAAGTCGTAGCTCAACCCAATCAGAGACTGGAAATTTTTTAAGGAATTTGTGAAAATAATTTATGTAGAAATTTAGTTTCCTGCATTCATATTGGACACGATCTGATAGCACATAGGTTCGTTTAATATATTTTTAGGAAAGGTAGTAGCTATTATTAGATCAGGGAAGCCAAATGTTGTTATAATACTGACAAATAATATTTGTT